ACCAGGAAGGGTGGCTCTCTCTACGGGAGTGAGGGTGGGGATCTTGAGGAGTGAAGGGGGGGAGGAGTGCTGCCAGAGTGGGGTGGCTAGGAAGGGTGGTTCTGAGGAGGAAAGGGTGGGGCTCCTGAAGGGTGAAGAGGGAAGGACTGCTGCAAGAGTGGGGTAACCAGGTGATGTTTACTAGGGGGTGTAGAGGCACTGAGTAGAGCAAGAATGCTGACCCTCAGGAGCAGGTAGGGTTTCCTGAGTGTGTGTGTCTTTCCAGGGGTTGGTTCTTGAGGAAATGAAGAGTAGACAGCTTAAAGAGGATAAGAGAGGGTTTGGTAGTGTCACATGACCCCGGTGGTTCATGAAGGGTTAGTTAGGGGATGGAAATCAGGTTCCTGAGGAAGGGTCACCAGACAAGGGTGTATACCTGCAAGGGATAAATGACTAGGATTGGAGGACCCTAATATGGCACTAGAAAGGTCACAAGGAGGGGGTCAGTGATTGGTTAGGACAGGGTATGGAAAGGAATTGTGAATGACTTGTGACCTTGACAAGTATGGAGGTCTCAAAAGGTATGGAGGAGCCAGGTCTGGGGGTGCATGTCCCCAACACAGACCTTCGTTTTTGTTTGTTGCTTTGAAACAGGGTATCACTGTGTAGTTCTGGCTGTCCTGGTGTTATGCCAAGTTCCCTTGCTCTTAAACTGGAACTCACTATGTAGACCAGGCTGGCCTCAAACTCACAGAGATCTGCCTCCCAAGTGCTGGAATTAAAGGCATGGGCCACCACAACTGGCTCAGGCCTTCTTTTAAGCATTTTACTAGTACAGATAATTAAACAGGGATATTGGATATCTCTACCTAGGACCTGGTGAAACAGTAGAGCAGTGGTTATCAACCTTCCTAATGCTGCCACCCTTTAATACAGTTTCTCATTTTGTGGTGACCCCCAACCATAAAATTAGTTGCTACTTTGTAACTAATTTTGCTACTGTTATGAATTGTGACGTAAATATCCTATATTCGGGATATCATTTAATACAGGACCTCTGTGAACGGGTCATTTGACCCCAAAGGTGTTACAACTTACAGGTTGAAAAACCTAGGCTGTAGAGACTACTGGAGGTTCCAAGATCCCTGTGGATAGGAGCTCAGAGACACAGGTCTTACTCCAGTTGGTTGCTTCTACTTTATTCTTTAGTTTAAGACGCTAAAAGTTAGTGGTTACCTGAGAATTTCTTTTTTTTTTTTTTTTCTGTTTTGGTTTTTCAAGACAGGGCTTCTCTGTGTAGCTTGGAGCCTATCCTGGCACTCGCTCTGGAGACCAGGCTGGCCTCGAACTCACAGAGATCCACTTGCCTCTGCTTCCCGAGTGCTAGGATTAAAGATGTGTGCCACCAACACCCAGCTGAGAATTTTCATTGTGAGATTTATCTCTACATGTTTTGAAATGAGGGTGAAGACTAAATGGTTCTTTAGTTTCCTTTAAAGGCTTCTGATGGGTGTCATGGTAATAAAGGAGAGGTATGCTTG